CTGTGTTGTCTGCACTGATTGTTAAAAAATGAGGATAATCAAACAGATATTTCCCATGCTGATCTTTATCAAATATTTTCAATACTTTACCAGACATGTCATGTATCTTCACTGTTGCTGGTAAAGTGTAAGATACTATAAGCTTGTTGTTACTATAGGCAACACCATAACAACCTTTTCCTACTTCTATATCTTCAGTGTTGGTCACTGTCATAGACTTGGAGAATGTTATCAGTCTTATTATTCCAAGAATAGGAAATGTTACAGCAACTTTGTTATTGTCAACTTTAGCAACAGTCCAAGGGTTGGGAGGCAGGTCTATTGTATCATGTGATGTAGTGCTGACTGACATATTCTTGAATATAATCAGCTTACTATAATTATAATGAGTAACCAGAAGACAGTTTTCAGATAATAAACATAAAGATGTATACCTGTCACATCTGAATTTAATATCTGTGTGATAACTTGCAGTTCTTGGTACTTCAGATTCATGTATTTCTTTATAGGTGAAAAATTTGTCACAGTCTTGTAAATTGGTTATATTTTGTTCAGAAGCTTTGCATTCTACTTTGCAATAATGAATTGAATTGTTTTTACATTGTTTATCTGCATCTAGTTTCAATTGTTCAATGATTCCTTGCCCTTTCTTCATAGCAACAAACAGTTGACATCTTTGATCTGTATTTTGGTGATGCACCAGCTCCCTTGATATGCTGTTTAATTTTGTTTTCATTTTTGTGGTTTCTTCAATGATTGTCTGCAAAACTTTCTTGTCATTCTTTTTTATGATTTCAATTTTCCTTTTAATTTCATTCTCCTGATCATTTAACAACTTTTCTAATTTCTTTTGAGTTCTTGTAAAGTGTAAATTTTCTCTTTTTTCTCTTCTTCAAGTCTTTGTAAGGTTTCATTTATTTTTTTCTCAAAGTTTTGAATTATATCTGTCTGATGTTTTTCAAACACTGACAATATTTCTTTCTTTTTTTTCATGACCATATCTAATATCTTTATTTCTTGTGAAGCAACATATTTCATGTTTATGTTCACATGTTGTTCTGTATTGTCCATATCCTTCATTAACTCATCAAGATTTTCAGTGAGCTCTTTGATTTCTTGGCTGTTTTCAATCCCTGGAACAAGAGCTGGCAAATGGCTGACCATACTACAGTTCCCATGGTCTTGTGTCTTGCATTCAGTACAGGCAAATTTCTTACAAGTTTGACAATAGAACTTGATCAATTCATCTTGATGAACAGAACATTTCTCTAGACAGAAATCCTGTGGCATGTTATCCTTATCTTTGATGGTATGAGATTTCATGTATATTTTATGGTATTTTAGACAAGTCACACACAAATACTCGAAACACTCCGCACAAAATCCTTCAGCAGGAATATATTGCTTGTCATGTTTATCACAAATCTCACAGAACATTTCCTGAACTTCATCAGAGTCCTGTGTAAAGGAGGTACTGAAATCACTTCCAACTGAAAATGCCATATTATTCAGTTATTTTTATAAACCCACACTTGTGTTTTGTTTAAAACAATCTAAATATTTAAAGTAGTGTTGATATTAAATTATAGTTATCTATCTTCATCTGAGTCCTGTGTAAATGAAGCACTGAAGTCTAGCTATCCTTGAATGTGCCATGATTTATTTTATTATCTAAAACATGAATTAACTTTGAAGACTGTCTTATCACAAAGTTGTGTTTAAAATTGTTCAAATGAGGAAGTATAAATCTATCCACTGAGAGATTTATTATTCTTGTTTAAAATGCGTGTAGGTACACCTTTTCATGATATTGACAATAGATTTATAAATAGCAGTTGTTACCATAAACTACTACTACTAAAGTATAAGATTATTAACGCATGTCTAACAACTGAGTACACTTTGCAATATGTTTTAATTTGTTTTGACTCATTTTTCATGCAAAATGAAGATATATAAAACATGTAATTGTCATGTTTTTGTAATATTTTGAAATTTGTGTATATTTTCCCATATTTAACCTTTAACTTTTAGCCTGATTTCATTGTAAACAAACTTACAGTTTGCAATCTTTAAACTTTTATTTACATTGGTTTTAATATAAAAGTTATCATAATATAAACACAGTATTGTCTGAACAACTTTTTATTACAGCTCAAATGAGTTATTATGTTTTAATGTTGTACACTACATTTAATGCGTTTTCATGTGGTGATGTATAATCATTAATGATAGTAAAAATGATAAGTCAATATAGGTTATGAAAAAGTCAGTACATGTATATATTATGAATAAATCAAGATAATCAATGTCTTCAAAATTTTCTTGTTATCCTGTTTTATCATTTCAATTTTCTTCATTATTTCATTCTCCTCATTTTTTTTGTTGAGCCCGCTTGCGGAGCGCCGAACAGTTATCACAATGGCAGTTTGGTGTATGTACATGCGTGCCTGCATCTGTCCATCCTCTATCACTAGCTGGTGGAACTTTAAAAACCTAGTACAAATGTTCAACATCATGAGACAGCTTGTCAGCGTGCTCAACTAGTTGCCCTTGAGCATCTAGTAATTACTTTTCTAATTTCCTTTGATTTTCTAGTATTTTTATATACCCGTTTGAAAAACGGGTCAAATTGTAGTATCCCCCTGGCGGGCGGGTTGGTGGCCGGTCGGTCAGCGTCCAATTTTTGTCCGGAGCATATCTCCTACACCCATTGAGGAATTTTAATGAAACTTCATAGAAATGTTACCCACTTTGAGAAGTCGTGTCGCGCACATGAACCAGGCCTCCAGGTCAAAGGTCAAGGTCACACTAAGAGGTCATTGAAAAGCGCTTGTCCTGAACAAAACTTCTACATGCATAGAGGGATTTCAATATAACTTGGCACAAATGTTTACTATTGTGAGACGGAGTGTTACATGCAAAATTTAGCTCCCTGAGTCCAAGTTCAAGGTCACACATGGGGTCAAAGTTCAGATAAAAATGTGAAAATGTGTATAGGGACCATTTTGTCATCAGTGATTGAGAAATAGAAACACAAATGGTCATTTTCATGAATACTGGTGTGAAACATGTAATTTAGGTTAATATATGCAAGGTCAAGGTCACTAAAGATGATTGTCATGGTCACTAAAGATGATAAAATATAGAGATTTTGTCCAGAGCATATCTCACATATGGAAGGTTTCTAATGAAACTTCATACAAATGTTCACCACTATGAAAAGTCGTGTTGCGTGCATGAACCAGGTCTTTAGGTCAAAGGTCAATGTTACACTTAGAGGTCATTGAAAATCGCTTGTTCAGAGCAAAACATGCATAGAGGGATTTCTATATAACTTGGCATATATGTTCACTATGGTGAGGTGGAGTGTTGCGTAATTTAGGTCCCTGTGGCCAAGGTCAAGGTCATACATAGGGGTCAAAGTTCAGATAAAAAAATCACTAGAGATGATACTATATACAGATATTTTCCGGATATTGCCAAGAGAATATCTCCTATTTGCATATCTATAATGCCCACATCTCTGTCAAAAGCTTCTGTGACTGGCGTATATTGCAACAATGTTGCCCTTTATTAATTTTCTTTTTTATGCCCCCAAAGGACAGCATATTATAATCACACAGTCCGTCCATCCATCTGTCTGTCATGTCTGTCTGTATGCTTACAAAATGGTACTTATGTGACTTTTCCTTTGATCTTTTTAGCTATTTTTAGTCACACTAGGCTTAAAAAAAGAAACACAAATAAAAACGAAATGAATAGGATCAAAGAGAATTTACTGATACCAATTAGTCACACAAGTACCTCTGCATTTGTACGCCTCCACTAATACAACATTGTGTCTGCAGTGTAAATTTGTCATGCAGTAAGGGATTTTGAAAAAGTTTGGCACAAATGTCTACCATATCAAAACGATGTGTTGCGTCCAAGAACCAGGTTCCTACCTCAAAGGTCAAGGTTGCACTTATTATATTTTGAAGGTTCACATTAGAGTGCAACTTCCAAATTCGAAAATTTCAAAAATCCAGAAACCTCTTTAATCTGAACAATTTTAAGGATCTCAAAATTTCTCCTTCTGTTTTCTGTCTTTGTCATCTAACTATTCTGATGTAGTTGACAGTATAAAACAAACACATACAATAAAAAAAATAATTTTATTTTATTCTATTTCACATGATGGTGCAAATATTTTTTTTGATTCAGACATTTTCTTGATATCTAATTCAACATTTGTTTAGTTCATAATTAATGTTTATAAACATACATTTGTGGTCATATGATAATTAAGATGATAATGATGTTATTGAATATTGTTATTTCACTGCCAGATTGTACAGATGATTCTAAATGTCCATCATAATTTTGTGTGTTTGCCACTTTGTGGCTAAGGGGTTGTCTTTAAGGGTTGAGGCATCAGAATTGCAGCTACTGTTTACCCCTGCATGATAGTAAGAGACAATTAAATGAGTTTGAATTACTGGAGTCTATGCATTTCGCAGCTCCAGGAGGTGAGATTGTTTTAACTTTAAAGTCTGTAACACAAGAGGTTAGCCAAAATTATCTTTCCTGTTCTGGTTCATTGTGACCAAAATAGTGTTGGTGCACCATAAAACCAAACAAAACAAACAAAGACCATGTGTCAAGCATTTAAACGATAATTATATATTTATTATTTAAGCTTAATATATGTTTGATGATTTATTGTTTTGATATGCTGATAAAACTACACATTATCTACATGTAGTGTTTTTAAATTACAAATTAGCAAAACTTACAGCCCACATTCTTACAAATGAATGTAGAGCTATTTCATATAATGAAATCAAAACTTATATAAATATTGCTTTATGTAAGTGTTAACACTTCCCTTTATATTTCATTTTGTTATAGGATAGTAATGGACACCTTTTTTAAATTATAAAGCTAAATTTGTAACATTTGAATGGAGTCGAAGCAGACTTGCCCTTATTATTTTTTTCAAAAGTAAATTGTTATCAGTGTTCTAAATCATTTATACTTTGTAAATAATGAACCAACTTTATTAATTCTATGTGTTGCACTTTTTGCCATGTAATAGGCTAGCGACCTGAAGCATTTATTAGTGTAAGTTTCAAGAAGTGGATGAAATAGAGTATTTTAGAATATTTATTCCAGTGATAAATCATACACTTTAATGTGATGACATTGACTCACATACAATCTGTTTGAATTCTGGCAGTATGCCACACCACTTGGTACACCTATTCCTTGTTCTATATCCAGTAGAATCTTTACCTTGGTCAGGTCAGGTGATAATTGATGTATGTTGTGTGACAAATGTCCACATACAAACACTGCTCCAGACCTATCAACAATTAGGTCATATGGTTTATTCAGTTTGTCATCATTGTAAATAGCTTTGACCTTCCCATCAAAGGTTAAACCTATCACACAGTTTTTATAATAGTCAGATACATATATAACTGTGTTGTCTGCACTGATTGTTAAGAAATGAGGATGAACAAACAGACATTTCCCATGATGATCTGTTTCAAATGTTTTCAATACTTTACCAGACATGTCAATTATCGACACTGTTGCTTGTCTGTCAGTGTCTGTGAATGAAACTATAAGGTTGTTGTTACTGTAGGTAACACCATGACAACCTTCTCCTACTTCTATATCTTCTGTGTTTGTCACTGTCATACACTTAGAGAATGTTATCAGTTTTATTATTCCTGATCTAGGAAATGTGATAGCAGCTTTATTATTGTCAACTTTAGCAACAGCCCAAGGGTTGGAAGGCAGGTCTTTTGTATCATATGATGTAGTACTGACCAACATATCCTTGAATATAAACAGCTTTGAAGATTCATGGTTACTTACAAGAAGACAATTTTCTGATAACAAGCATAGAAAGGACCAGATGTCATCTGTGACTTTAATATCTGTGTCATAGCTAGCAGTTTTTTGTACTTCAGATTCATGTATTTCTTGATAGGTGAAAAGTTTGTCACAGTCTTGTAAATTGTTTATATTTTGTTCAGAAACTTTGCATTCTACTTTGTAATAATGAATTGAATTGCTTTTACATTGTTTTTCTGCATCTGGTTTTAATTGTTCAATGATTTCCTGCCCTTTCTTCAAAGAAATAAACAGTTGACATCTTTGATCTGTACCTTGATGATGCACCAACTCTGTTGATATGCTGTTTAGTTTTGTTTTTATTTTGGAGGTTTCTTCAATGATTGTCTGCAAAATTTCCTTGTCATTCTTTTTTATGGTTTCAATTTTTCTCTTAATTTCATTTTCCTCATCATTTAATAACTTTTCTAATTTCATTTGATTTTCTTGTAATGTGTTAATTTTCTCCTTTTTCTCTTCTTCAAGTCTTTGTAAGGTTTCTTCAATTTTTTTCTCAAAGTTTTGAATTAAATCTGTCTGATGTTTTTCAAACACTGACAATATTTCTTTCTTTTTTTTCATGACCGTATCTAATATTTTTGTTTCTTGTGAAGTGACATATTTCATGTTTATGTTCACATCTTTTTCTGTACTTTCCAAATCTTTCATTAACATATCAAGATTTTCAGTGAGTTCTTTAATTTCTTGGCTATTTTCAATTCCTGGGACAAGAGCTGGCAAATGACCGATCATACTACAGTTCCCATGGTCTTGTGTCTTGCATTTAGTACAGGCAAATTTCATGCAAGCTTGACAATAGAACTTGATCAATTCATCTCGATGAATGGAGCATTTCTCCAGACAGAAATCCTGTGGCATGTTATCCTTATCCTTAATGGTATGAGAGACCATGTATCTTTTATGGAATTTTAGACATGTTCCACACAAGTACTCGAAACACTCTTCACAAAATCCCTCAGCAGGAACATATTGCTTATCATGTTTATCACAATGTTCACAAAACATTTCTTGAACTTCATCAGAGTCCTGTGTAGATGAAGCACTGAAGTCTATCCTGGAATTTGCCATGATGTTTTATTTAAATTTGTATTTCAGTTATAAGTATCCCTGCTGATCTGCTTAAGAATTATCAGTTTTCATGTTTCAGCTTTTGTTCCTCAGCGTTGAGTTCTTTAAAATAAATAAATACATGTAAATCTTGTGTTGATTTTAAATTGCTTAAATTGGGTCAGGTCATATGTTACTATGATGATCATGTGGTTATTTGTATTGTTGAGATCAGGTGCTTCAATTGTGATACTGTGAATTACATTATATATTGATAAGGTAATCTATTGACTATTATTTACATCTCTATCATCAAGATAGCTTATCAAAGTGATCTAAATGACACACAGTCACTGAGTATATACTACATTTGAACTGGAAAAAGCTTTTAAACATTTACTGTAAATTCAATACCAGAGATATATAAATAGTGAGGGAAGGGTTACCTGAGGTTTTCCTCCACAACATAAGCTGAATAATTGCCATATGATTCCCCAAAACGAACTAGACTTAAACTGTAAGTTGACGTTGGATTGGAGTTCTATGTAGTCATATAACAACCGGAAGGATCAAATGAGATGTGCATAGACCATTTAGATATTCCTCAGTCTTCAAAGCACTAACAGAAAAGCTATGTCCCAGAACGGGAACAAATAATATCAATAATATTCTTAGGTATCAATATATTCAACTGTAACATAATATGTTTTTCTGGGTGGAGTGGGAGGGCATTTGATCAAATCTGGGTACATAGATGACTCATTGTTAGTTTAATTTTGTGTTTTGTTGCAATAGGAACAGAATAGTAGGCATGACAAAAATCATTTGATGCAAAATAACAGCCTGGTTTGACTAATTTTAATACAGTTTCAAATGTGTCCATTTTAAAGTGATGATATTCAATAAATTCATTTAATTCTTTTAAATTTAAAATCATCCTATATTCACCATTCTTTTTAGGATGTATGAAAATTGGAGAAATATATTCCTCAGGATGATGTTCAATTTCTGTAATAACACCCATTTTTAATTGTTTTTCTATTTCTTTATCTACAATGTCATTTTCTTCAGGTGTAAGAAGAAGTTTTAATGGGATTTACACCCTCTTTAAATTCAGTGTGACGATGTTGAACAATGTCCAACACTGAATCATCACTGGTTACTTTTTATTATGCCCCCCTTCGAAGAAGAGGGGGTATATTGTTTTGCTAATGTCGGTCTGTCTGTCTGTCGGTCCGTCCGTCGGTCTGTCCGTCAGTAGACCACATAGTTTCCGCTGATTATCTTGAAAAGTATTTATCACAAAGTCTTCATATTTTACATAGTAATTGGTCATAACTAGTAGATGACCCCTATTGATTTTGGGGTCACTAGGTCAAAGGTCAAGGTCACAGGGACCTTAAATGTCAAAATGGTTTCCGCTGATTATCTTAAAAAGTATGTATCACAAAGTCTTCATATTTCACACAGTGATTGGTCATCACTAGTAGATGACTCCTATTGATTTTGGGGTCACTAGGTCAAAGGTCAAGGTCACAGGGATCTTAAATGTCAAAATGGTTTCCGCTGATTATCTTGAAAAGAAAGTATGTATCACAAAAGTCTTCATATTTCACACAGTGATTGGTCATAACTAGTAGATGACCCCTATTGATTTTGGGGTCACTAGGTCAAAGGTCAAGGTCACCGGGACCTTAAAATGTGAAAATAATTTCTGCTGATTATCTTAAAAAGAATTCATCACAAAGTCTTCATATTTCACATAGTGATTGGTCATCACTAGTAGATGACTCCTATTGATTTTGGGGTCACTAGGTCAAAGTCAAGTTTACAGGGGCCTTAAATGTCAGGATGGTTTCCGCTCATTATCTTGGTTATTATTTATCACAAAGTTTTCATATTTCACATCTTGATTGGTCATATCTTGTAGATGATCCCTATTGATTTTGGGGTCACAAGGTCAAAGGTCAAGGACACAGGGCCCTTAAATATCAGAATGGTTTCCACTCATTATTTTGAAAACTATTAATTACAAAGTCTTCATATTTCGCATAGTGATTGGTCATCACTAGTAGATGACCCTATTGATTTTGGGGGTCACTAGGTCAAAGGTCAAGGTCACAGGGGCCTTAAATGTCAAAAGGGTTTCCGCTGATTATCTTGAAAAGTATTCATCACAAAGTTTTCATATTTCACCTAGTTATTGGTCATAAGTATTAGATAACCTCTATTGATTTAGGGGTCATTAGGTCAAAGGTCAATGTCACATGGGCCTTAAATGTCAAAATGGTTTCCGTTGATTTTTCCATAATTGAACACTTCCATGTACCCATTTTTGGCAAGTTTATTTAATAAAATTACCAATTATGTGAGTCATGCTAGAAAGGGGGGTATATGTGTCGTTCGACATTCTTGTCTCCAATTTTCAACAAAATCCTTCAATCTACCAGCTTTAAAAATACCAACCTGCTCTGCTTCTTGGACGCAATCCTGGCATTTTTTGAAGGTGCCAATAATTGTCCTGCCGACCACGACCTCTACCATGGAACCCTCATCTGTAGTAAGGATGAGGGCATCTGCTAGCATAGCCACGATACTTGCCCCGAGGGAATCCTCGACCAAGATTACGACCAATCTTGTTCAGGTCATTGATATCCTTCACATTCTTGTTGATGTCTGTATTGTCACCATATAAGTGATCCGACTTGTGGAGCTCTTTCCGGCGAATATTTATCAATTTATTTGCCTGTCCGAGCAACGCAATAGTGTTTGAACTCCAGTCCTTATCACTAGGATCTAAAGTATCAGCATTCTTGTGAATAAGCTTGACAAGGTTGGATGTGGCTTTGATGATCAAATCTTGAATTATCTGCATTTGGTTGTCGTCGGCCTGTGTATGCATTTTCAGTAAATCTCCAGATTCCCTGGTTAACTCTGGTTTTAACCAACGCCTCACAATTCTGTGGCCTGTGTATGTCCTTCACTATATCTGACAGTTTATCTTCCATCAAACCACTTCTAAAAAACATGTTGAAAAAATGTGCAAGGGCATCATGGACTTCGCTGTCAACAGCGTCTTCCTGCTGGAATTTGTTCACTAATGAACTAAATATGCCTCCCCCAGTAGTTTTTCTTAGCACTTGAAAGAATGGATGCTTGTTCAGACATACAAGCATCATCATCATACTGTTCTTGGCACTCATTAGTCATTGTAATCATTATATTCACTGTACTCTTGATCAGCCAACTGTTCAGGGAAGGACTGTAATTTTTATTCTTGTTTTTTCAAGCGTGTGGCTCGTGCATTCAGATTTGCATTCATTTCCTTTAATATCAGTAACACTTCTTTCGTTACCCCACCCTCCTTGGTGGGCAACTGTTTTGTAGGTTGTTTACTGCTACTGCTGCTAATAGCAGCCTTGTTACTTGAAATTAACATAGAATGACAAGACAAACTAGTCTTGGTAGTAACTGGGGTTGTTTCATTTTGTTGGGAGACTTTTGTGGTCTTTTTCCCGTGATTTTTAACTGAACTTCTTTATCTGCTATTTTCCATGTGATGTTGTAAAGCAACTCTTCTAACGCACTTGGGTATGTCGTAAAATGTATTGTTGTAAATAATACAACAAAGGCAAATAATCAATATTTGCGAACAAATATTATAAAATTGTATCAAATTGTTACGAATAACAACAAAATAATAGAGTATTGCTACTGATAGCAAAAATATGTAAGACTGACTGGAACAACAAATTGTCTTAAACGTGAACGAACGAATCCATCACGGATAACGGTCAGCTACTGTAGAAATATGACTGCACTCTACAAGTAGCAAAAACGCACTGAGGAATATCGATACGGTCTATGCACATCTCATTTATCTCAATATCTTAGAGTTCTCAAAGAGAATTTTTAATTAATGAGAGTATTAATGAGTGCGTCTAGATGAATGCTATGATGATGATTCACTTAATGATCATAAGTTTACCTTTGTACAAGGTACATACATTTTGTAAATTGTTTTCATTGAAGGAACATTATTTCTCAGAAATAAATATGTTTTTCCTTCTTTAGAAAGGGCAAACATAGTTTAATGATGTTTAGATAATGGCATTTTTTGTCATAAAAGAAGCAAAATGTAAACAAAGAAGTAATTTGAGTTACATGAAATGACCATTAGGTTATGAAAACAACTTGATTTTAATTATTCTATTGTTTTATAAAAAAAAGTTCATCAGATAAAACTTTTAACACCGTTAAATGATATCTCTTTTGATTTATCATGAAGGTAATTGAATTTTATATTGAAATTTCAGTACCAATTGGACATTGATCTACAATTTTTATGAAATATTAATTCATCTTTATATTGTTTGTAAAATATCCAGGAGTGGTCAATAGATTTTGCTTGTATTAATAAATTGACAAATGTATGACAAACAATGCTCATCCAATACATCTGAGAATCTATGGGATTTGAAGATATGTCGCTGACTGTTTGCCTATTTTTATTTTAAAAAAACTGACCTTGTAGGAAATATAGAATGTTATATTACAGTTGCCCATATGCAAAAAGGATTGAGAAAAAAAATTGATTTCCTAAAGAATGCAGAAAAAAGCAACTTTAAAAATGTTGTAGGCTTGATTTAATTGAGCCTGTACATTGATGAAAGTGGTAGGTACAAGCTACTGTCCATGATGCCCTTGCACCGGCTTAGACGACATTTATACATGGTATACAAGTTGTGAAATTTTACACTCATACACTAATGCACAGTTTATTCTTGTACCTGAAAATGCAATGCTTGTATAGTATCTGTATAGTATCTGTTCATATTGTATATTCTTGAATATTATGTATTGTTTTTATTCAATTCCATGCAGACTATTATAATTTCTTATGAGACAACTCTTTCTTATATACAGAAGTGTCATTTAAGGATTACTCCCCCTTGTTCAGAGCTGTATAATCACTACAGTCAACTACCGTTATCTCGACAACGCTTTTCTCGATGTTTTGTTATCTAGATGAAAATTTGAAAATCCCGATTTTATTCCTTCTTTATCTATATTGGACATATTTTTTTATCTCGATATTTTTATTTTAATATTTCCGGTATCTTGAAGTAAAATTTCAGCCCAAACAGTTATATTCACACTATCATCCTTTGTTTACCTTGACTAATAATTTTTCGTCTGTCCACTGCAGAGGTGTGAAAAACACTAACCAGACGATATCGCTCAAAAGCCTGTGTCATAATGATGATTATGTTTGAAACAAGTCAAGCTGTTTTTATAAGGTTAATCTTATAAGCCTGTTGATCGACTTATGTCAAAAATGCGTGAAATTTCTGTTATTTATAAAATACAAAAAATGTACTTGAACTCTGTATTTAATTCATTATGACTTTAAATGTGAATGAGATAGTGAAAATATGGAAACATTATCATTGCAATATTGTTTCACAACATTAAAAAAAATCAAACAGCGGTCGAACAATCTAAAGAAGAGCCCGATCACTAACTGGGGAGGATATCTGGATCGACCATGCTGAAACCAATGTTTTTTCCATAGTGGTGTATTTACCTGAGTAAACCTCACTATGTGTATTTATCACAGACTTCTGTATTTCCGCTGGTAAACATCCGCTAATGTAACTTTATTTAAAATATTGACTTTGCAAAAAAAAAGACATGGAGATATCATACTGAGCTTATTTGACTTTAGGTATGCACATGTATTTTGTAAACATCAGTTTCTATCAGGTTCAAACCCAGATATGTTTATCTTGACATTTCATTATATTGATATTTTTTGGACAGTCCTATTGACTTTGATATAACGAGAGTCGACTGTATTTCAAAGTTAGATATAACCTGAAAACTAAGGGAATACAAATGTATGTTTAAATAAAATTACCATTTAAAAGTTATTTTTAAAGGGTTTTATCCAGTACTAATTAGTAAAGAATAAATGTGAATAGCTCTAAAACATTCTGGAATATCTAATTTACCAAATAATATAAAATATTTTGATGTAAATGGCTTTTTGCAATGAAAGGGAAACACTTTAGGTATATTAATATATTGTAATAAATGCAATTATGCATTCTTGTAGGTATAGTGTAGGTATATAAAATTGTCCCAAGTCGTAACAGGCACTTTATTTTACATTAATATGAACATTTACAATAAAATGAAAACATTTATCAAACTGTTATTATTCTTTTCTCTTGAATACTATGCTATTTATACTTCATTAGTTTATAATAAAAAAACCTAAGTCAGTTAAAAAACTAAGACTTCAAAGTTGTCATATTCAGTTGTCAGATCTGTATTCTTATTGAGCACCATACAAAAATTTCCCAATTCAGAATGCACTGGCTGATGCAAAAAGTATCTGCAGAAAGCCTTATTTTTACTATTTGACAACTGTCTGGCTTGTCATCTAACTATTCTGATATAGTGGACAGTGTAAAACAAACACATACAAAATCTTATTCTTTATTTTCTTTCTTTTATGTCACATGATGCCATGTTGCAAATATTTTTTTATGTTTAAACATATTTCTTGAAATATTATTCAACACTTTTTTAGTCATTATTGTTTAGTAACATACACTTGTGGTCATATGATAATTAATATGATCACAATATTACCTCCCTTTAATGAATATTGTTCTTTCACTGTCAGAAATTGTGCAGATGATTCAAAATGTCAATACTGTTGTATTTATCATATAAAATCATAATTTTGTGTGTTTGATGCAGAAAAGGTTGTCACTTTGAGGCTGAGGGGTTGCCTTTAAGGGTTGAGGCATCAGAATTGCAGCCACCATTTATCCCTGCATGATAGTAAGAGCCACTAAATGGGTTTGAATTACTGGAGTCTTTACGTCTCTCAGCTCCAACAGGTGAGATGGTTTTGACCTCTTGTGTTGCTTTAATATTTGTAACACCCAAGGTTAGCCAAAATCATCTTTGCAGTTCCTGGTGCCATATGACCAAAATTGTGTTTGTGTGCCGTAAAACCAACCAAGACAAATGAAGACCACATGTCAAGAATTTCATCATTAATTATAGATTTATAACTTATATTTACTTATAATTAAGCTTATATGTTAAAAGATTTATCATTTTGATATGACTGATAAAACTACAAATCATCTAATGTTATTAAATTTCAAATTAAGTTTAGATATAATTATCACATAAACAGTGGCGTAGGAGTGTAATAAAGCCATTTTATTAAAACGATTAGTTTACACTAGTATAATATCACATTGAGGTGACATCATTTGCACTATATAGAATCATAGTGTTAAAGCGCGCTATGAAAAATGTCTCGTTTTAACTGTAAACAGTCCTCTATGAATATGTGATAAATGTATTGTGCAACAACATTGACCTGGCACTCTTGCATTTGACCCTATAGTCGGTAAATTCCGTACATGTTACGATCTACTTGTAAATCGATTTAAATATTTATATTAAGCACATAGTAAGAAACCGTCATAGCGCAATCGGTAAAGCTCTTTCTCTTATAATTGTAAACTCGTAGGTTCGAATCCTGGTTAAGCCACTTTTTTTTTTAATTTCAAAAATTCGTGCAAACCGGTTTTTTGTGTCTCTACGATCTGTGTAGTGTTTTAATATCTGCATATAAAGCGTGTATGCGCTAACGCGTAAACGAATGCAAAATGTCGCATACAAAACCGTTGAAACATATGCGTTCTAGAGAAAAACTTGCGATTGTACATACGTCCGAGTTTTTACGAAAACACCCTGATAAAAGAAAAGGAAACGCCTTCATCAACAGGACGGCAGAATTATGTGGCGTCAGCAGGAGAACTGTATTTAGATACAGGAAATAATCTAGAGAGAGAGAGGTACTGACGTCACCAAAACGCCCTTCATGCCGCGACCAGTATAAACCCGTGGACAATTTTGACTTATCAGTGATAAGAAACAAGGTGCAAGAATTTTACGATGTTCGTCGCCAGTATCCAACAATGCAGAAACTACACGATGTACTGAGAAAAGAAATCCAGTATCCTGGCAGTCGGGAACTTCTCAGGAGAACACTACGCTACATTGGCTACAGCTGGAAGAGGACGGCTGACAACAGAAAGATTCTTACAGAAAAGCCCAATGTTGTTGCTCAGAGGATGGTGTTTTATGAGAGGAAAAGACTGTTGGAAGAAAGAGGCTTCCAGTTTATTTATGTTGATTAAACATGGTTAGACACCTCCTACACATGCAAGAGTTGTTGGCAAGGCCCGAATCTCACAGATGCAAAGCGCCCCCTCAACAAAGGTCAACGCCTTATTGTGGTTGATGCTGGATCAAGGAACGGATTTGTACCGGGAACCAAACTCATGTACAAAGCATCTGCGTCTTCCGGTGACTACCACTCTGAGATGAACGGCGAGACATTTGGGAAGTGGTTACGGGAGAAGTTGTTACCAAACCTGCCTCCACATCGTGCTATTGTGATGGATAACGCCAGTTATCACTCAGTGCAGTCTGACAGATGCCCAACCACTTCTTCACGAAAAGATTTCATTAAGGTACATGCAGTTCTTATAACTTAATGTATTTCTTGTCATTCACAAAATACAGTTTTTGCCGCATGTTGTTTCATTATATGTTTTCATTCTATTTAACAGGAATGGTTAAAGGCACATGGGGTGAATTTCACCGACGACATGGTGAAGACTGAATAACTCAAACTAGTAAAACTGAACAGACCTGCACCAACCTACGTCATCGATGACATCATTAGGCAACATGGTCACGAGATCCTCCGACTACCACCTTACCACCCTGATTTCAATCCAATTGAATTAATATGGTCCCAGCTTAAGTCCATCGTCCGTGTAAGAAATATGACATTCAGGTAAGTAAGCTATAGAATGAACTATATTAGAAATATAATGTAATGCTTATTGTCTCGAAACGTGTGAAAATGTAAGATTTTAAGACTTTATTTACTTATATAATAAATTAAAAAACAACATTGTTACAGGTCTACGTCGTTGTCTACTGAAATATTGCATATTTAAAATATATTTCAGATTGGATGTCTTATTGAAGTTGGCCGATGCAGCTTTCGGTGAGATCACCGAAGAGAGATGGCGATGAGCATGTGGCCATGTTGAAAAGGTGATAGAGAAAAGCAAGACACATGACTGCTACAGAGACCATAACATGGAGAAAATTATAATAAACCTTGCCGATACTTCTAGTGAAGACTCCAACTCAGAGACGGAAACCGCCAGTATGGGCAGTACGACAGACACTGCCAGTGAAATTGACTAGTCAATTCATTGTTTTGTATTTTAAATGTGCCGTTCTCTGTAATAAAGATATTGCAATGAAATAAAAAATATATATATTTGTATAATCTTAAAAGGCACCTTAAAACCAGACGTATTAACATGACTTCAAATTAATTATTGCAATAAAAAAGATAAAAAAAATACACTGATGTTAGGAATCGAACCAGAGACCTTCATATTGGTAGTCCGGCATATATACCAATACACCAAATCTCATTGACGTATGCGGGAAACAAATATATCGATATATTCGGTACCAGTGTTTATCCAATGACCTTTACGAAAGTTAATGAGATGCCAGGTCAATGTTGTCAGACAATAATATTATATTTGTGTAGGTTCACTTTTACTTAAGCTTATCTGTTAGATAATTTATTGTTTTGATTTGACCGATAAAACAACACAATATCAGATGTTATTAAATTTCAAATTAACTTTAAATATAAGCAAAACATACAGCCAACATTCTTACAAATGAATGTAAAGCTATTTAATATAATGAAATCAAAACTTATATAAATATTGCTTTATGTAAGTGTTAACACTTCCTTTTAAATTTCGTTTTGTTATATACATAGAAATGGACACCTTTATAAAATTATAAAGCTAAATTTGTAACATTTGAATGGAGTCGAAGCAGACTTGACATTATTAATTTTTTCAATAGTATGTTATTAGTGTTCTTAATCATTTATATTTTGTAAATAATGAATCAATTTTGTTAATCCAATGTGTTGCATGATTTGCCCTGTAAAAGGCTAGCGTCCTGAAGCATTTTATAGTGTAAGTTTCAAGAAGTGGAAGAAATAGAATAGTTTATTCCAGAGATAAATCATACACTTTAATGTTACCAGCAAATTGACTCACATACAATCTGTTTTTATTCTGGCAGTATGCCACACCCACTGGTCCATTTATTCCTTGTTCTTCATCCAGTAGAATCTTCACCTTGGTCAGGTCAGTTGATAATTGATGTATATTGTATGACCAATGTCCACCTACAAACACTGCCCCAGACCTATCAACAGTCAGTTGACATGGCATCTTCAACTGGTCAACCTTGTAAATGGCCTTGACTTTCCCATCAAAGGTTAAACCTATCACACAGCTTTTATTATAGTCAGATACATATATAACTGTGTTGTCTGCACTGATTGTTAAAAAATAAGGATTAACAAACAGATATTTCCCATGTTGATCTTTATCAAATATTTTCAGTACTTTACCAGACATGTCAAGTATCTTCACTGTTGCTAGATAGTCTATGTATGACACTATAAGCTTGTTGTTACTATAGGCAACACCATGACACCTTTTTCCTACTTCTATATCTTCAGTATTGGTAACTGTCATAGACTTAGAAAATGTTATCAGTCTTATTATTCTAAGATAAGGAAATGTGATAGCAACTTTGTTATTGTCAACTTTAGCAACAGCCCAAGGTTTGGAAGAAAGGTCTATTGTATCATATGATGAAGTGCTGACTGTCAAATCCTTGAATATGATTAGAGTACTAGAATTAAAATAAGAAACCAGAAGACATTTTTCAGTTAATAAACATAAAGATGACCAGGAGTCAGATGTGAATTTAATATCTGTGTAATAACTTGCAGTTCTTGGTACTTCAGATTTATGTATTTCTTGATAGGTGAAAAATTTGTGACAGTCTTGTAAATTGGTAGCATTTTGTTCCAAAGCTTTGCATTCTACTTTGTAATAATGAATTGAATTGTTCTTACATTGTTTATCTGCATCTGGTTTCAATTGATCAGTGATTTCCTGCCCCTTTTTCATAGCAATAAACAGTTGACATCTTTGATCTGTACCTTGATGATGCACCAACTCTGTTGCTATGCTGTTTAGTTTTGTTTTCATTTTTGTGGTTTCTTCAATGATTGTCTGCAAAACTTTCTTGTCATTCTTTTTTATGATTTCAATTTTTCTCTTAATTTCATTTTCCTCATCATTTAATAACTTTTCTAATTTCCTTTGATTTTCTTGTAATTTGTTAATTTTCTCTTTTTTCTCTTCTTTAAGTTTTTGTAAGGTTTCTTCAATTTCCTTCTCAAAGTTTTGAATTATTTCTTTCTGATGATTTTCAAATACTGACAATATTTCTTTCTTTTTTTTCATGACCATATCTAATATTTTTGTTTCTTGTGAAGCGACATATTTCATGTTTTTGTTCACATGTTTTTCTGTATGTTCCAAATCTTTCATTAACTTATCAAGATTTTCATTAAGTTCTTTAATTTCTTGGCTGTTTTCAATCCCTGGAACAAGAGCTGGCAAATGACTGACCATACTACAGTTCCCATGGTCTTGTGTCTTGCAGTCAGTACAGGCAAATTTCTTACAAGCTTGGCAGTAGAACTTGACTAATTCATCTTGATGAACAGAACATTTCTCTAGACAGAAATCCTGTGGCATGTTATCCTTATCCTTGATGGTATGGGAGACCATGTATCTTTTATGGAACTTCACACATGTTCCACACAAGTACTCAAAACATTCCTCACAAAATCCCTCAGCAGGAACATATTGCTTGTCATGTTTATCACAATGTTCACAAAACATTTCTTGAACTTCATCAGAGTCCTGTGTAAATGAAGCACCCAAATCTATCCTGGAATGTGCCATGATTTTTTATTTAAATTTGTATTTCAGTTATAAGTATCCCTGCTGATCTGCTTAAGAATTATCAGTTTTATTATTTCAGTTTTTGTTCCTCAGAGTGGAGTTCTTTAAAATAAATAAATACATGTAGATCTTGTGTTGATTTAAAATTGCTTAAATTGGGTCAGGTCATAAATTAGGTTGTTAATTTGATATGATGATCACATGTCTTGACTGTGATATTATGAATTACATTATATATTGATAAGATAATCTTTTGACTATTTACATCTCCATCAACAAGATAGCATATCAAACTGATCTAAATAATGACACACACTCACTGAGTATGTATCACACTCCAAAAAGATTTTAAACATTCAATATAACTTCAATACAAGAGATATATTAATAATTGAAGGGCACCTGAGGTCTTCCTCCACCACTAAAGCTTAATAGTCGCCATATGACCTATAATGTGTTGGTGTAAAGTAACCTCTTTCATTTTTATAGTTGCTTAATAATATATCCAGTAAGAAGTCAAAAACTTATTTCCATGGTATCAAAAGGTGTGTTAAAATTTTCTCTGACTTGCATACAAAGGTGAGTGACAATATCTTAGAGTTCTCCAAGAGAATATATGAGTGTAATAGTGAGTGATAAATGCTATGATGGTCATAAAGTTACCTTTTGTACATACATTTTGTAGATTGTTTTCTTTAAAGAAATATTATGCCTCAAAAATGAATATGTTTTTCTTTCTTAAGAAAGGGCAAACATAGGTTAATGATATCTAGATAATGGCATTTTTTGGTCATAAAAGAAGCAAAATGTAAGCAAAGAAGTATTTTGAGTTACATATACAAAATACTATATCACTATCACTGTACTAATTGCCAAAAAAGCAAAAGATGATTCAGGTAATTGGCCAATTGGTATCTTTTTGGAAACTAAAACAGGACATCAAAGAAGATACAGTCAAAATTGTATTAAGCGACAGCGCAAGGGAAACACCCAAAACGGTCGCTAAATGAAACGGTCTCTTAAGACAAAGCTTTGATAAAAGTCAAAATTTATAAATGACATTTTTCTTTGATAAAAGTCAAAATTTATAAATGACATTTTTCTTTTGCGGTGGGAACAATGTTGAATAATTAGTATGCTCTGATAATCTAAATGGATGCTTATGTAAAAAATTACTTTCTGATATTTATTGACAAAACAGTTTTGATCCATTACATACATGTTTGACATTTTTAACAAGGTTTTCCGAAGGAAAAAACTGGTTATTAGATTGAAGTATGTCGGCAGGCGGGCGGATGGGCGGACGGGCGGGCGGGCTTGCGTAAACAATTTCTTCTGTGCGCAACTCCTCATACATTTTTCAACGGATTTTGTCCAAACTTTCACAGAAGCTTTGTCATCAAGTGACCTGGCGCATAATTGTCTGGGTTTTGTGATTGGATAATATTTGACCTAATTATGGCCCTTTGTTTTTTTTCCTTATTCAGAATATATAGTGAATAATTTCTTCTGTGCCCAACTTCTCCTACATTTCTCAATGGATTTTGACCAAACTTTCACAGAGGCTTTGTCATCAAGTGCCCTGGCGCATATTGTCGGGGTTTTGTGATTGGATAATATTTGACCTAATTATGGCCCTTTGTTTTTTTTCCCAATATAGGATAATCATAGTGAACAATTTTCTGTGCGCAACTCCTCCTACATTTCTCAACGGAATTTGACTTAACTTTCACACAGGCTTTGTCATCAAGTGCCTTAGGGCATATTGTCAGGGTTTTGTGATTGTATATTATTTGACCTAATTATGGCCCTTTGTTATTTTTCCTTATACAGATTATATAGTGAACAATTTTTACCATGTGCAACTTCTCCTACATTTCTCAACAGATTTTGACCAAACTTTCACAGAAGCTTTGTTATAAAGTGACCTGGCGCACATTATCGGGGTTTTGTGATTGGATGATATTTGACCTAATTATGGCCCTTTGTTATTTTTCCTTATACAGAATATATTATGAAAAAATTCTTCTGTGCTGAACTCCTACATTTCTCAACGGAATTTGTTCAAACTTTCACAGTAGCTTTGTCATCCAGTGCCCTGGAGCATATTGTCGGGGTTTTGTGATTGAATAATTTTTTTATTTAATTATGGCCCTTTGTTTTTTTCCTTATACAGAATATAATTATAGTGAACATTTCCTCTGTAGCAATTTTCCTACATTATTCATGTTTTACATTGCACATAGCTACATTGTTTGTTGCTTGTATTTGTATTTCAAATACAACATATTTATCTACAATGGTGATAATTGAAAACCTGGTTTCATGGCATTGCCATGTTTCTTGTTCCAGAATTTTTTTAAAATTCTCCGTTGTTTTTCCTTGTCTCCAACACGAAAAACCTATTAGTGAAAAATGTTTTCTGTTGTGCAATTTTTCATTTGAAATAAACAAACTATATCTAATTGTTATGATAAATTAAATTGCTGATCAAGTTCGAGGTCAATTCAATGCAGTCTAAATGTCAACAAGCGAAGCATATAGACATCATCTCAATAAGGGGCGGAGTGTTAATTGCATTGGTTTTCCCATTTTATTGGATGATACACGTCACAAGTATACTTCACTTCATTTGCATACTCTAAAACGGTTTGGGAAATAGAGTTTTTCACACATTTATTTGTTGTGTTTTGGCAGTTGACATTTGTGACATTACAAGGCGGCGTTCCCTAAAAACACAATTACTTGACAGGTAAAAGTGGTTGTTTAATGAAAAGACTGATCTTTAGAGATGTGACCAAAATGTGTTTAAAACAGTGTTTACCACAAACACACTGTACAGATTTCGATCAAACTTACTGGTAATGATTATTGTGTTGTGTTTTACAAACAGTTCAGATTGATTTGATTCCTCAAATAAAAAGAGTTAAAATAGAAAGAAAAGCAAACATGTGAACTCTCCCACTTTCAGCGGGAGACTCACTCCCACTTTCTGCAGCCAAATTTTCAAAATTTTTTCTTTAAATGAGGTTTTTTATTACAAATTAAAGAAATCTCCTTCTTTTTGATATCAGAACTTTCTTCTTTGTTTATTGCAAATTCTGAAATCTCCCCCTTTTTGAAGAAAAATCTCCCACTTGATCATCATAAAAAGTTCACATGTATGGAAAAGATTTAAATGAAGAAGGTAAACTTTGGCTTAAGAAGACTTGTTTCAGGTGAACGATCTAAGGGCTATTTTTGCCTTCTTGTATATGGTGATAGTGGGTCTTATTTCACTACATGCTTGAACTTAGAGTCTGTTTTATTATTTAAAAATGCAATCAAAATTTAAGTATATACTCCTAATAATATGATCTTATATGAGTTTTGATATATTTTCTAGGTACTCATGGTGCTCTGACAATCTGGTGACAGATAAATTCCGATGGACATCAGGTCTGCGTTTACAAGAGTTAATTCCCTTGGAACCAGAAGTAACAACTAAGTCCACAGATGTTGGCCGATCCAGACTTGTTATTGGACACAATGTAGCTTTTGACAGATCGTTTGTAAAAGAACAGTATAATTTAGAGGTAAAACTATGTATAAGGGTATTTTTTTTACAAGCAGCATTTAGTGACTTGCCTGGCCACTATTAACTTGCAATCCAATCTGTTTTTAATTACGATGATCGGTTAGTTTTGGTATAAGTTTGACTATTATTTTCATGTGATAATATGGTGAAATATTGTTCTCTTTTGGGTGTCAGCAGGACACTTTTGGTTAAATTTTTAATGTATCCCTGAATGTTTTGCAGGGCTCCAGATAATTTTTTAGGGCATTGAGTATTTACTCATTGATTTTTTTGTGAATGAGTAAAACTTGAAATCTGAAATTTGGCAGGAGTATTTTTACTCCTTAAAATGTTTGTAAAGGAGTAAAACATTTAATATGCTTCCATGTTTATTGTATTATTATACTTGTAATAAAAGATATGTCAAAGTTATTTCTTATAATCTTGCATTTCCAAACAGCATACGTTTTATCTGAACCTGAGGAATGTTTTTGTTGCTCATACGTGGCAGCGCTAACTATTTCATTAATTATAACCTTCACAATTACTTTCCGGTCGATTTTTTTTTCGGCTTAAAATACGAGTCAATTTGACAGCGACATTGTACCGGATGTTTATGAAATTGTGTTAATTCCACCACCTTACTATACATACGATAATAACCGATGATAGTCGGAACTACAGGAAGTTACCGTTAGATGTTGCAAAGCATTCATAGTTACGAAGTTAATTTCACCACCATACTATACATACGATAACAACCGATGATGGTCGGAACTACAGGAAGTAACCGGTAGACGCTTGCAAAGCGTTCAGACGAAATAATCACCGAGTTTACTTTCGGTTACGTTTACGCGAAAGAAATGTTGCTCAATGCGTAACCTGAATTTTGTGTGCGTTTTCATACTCTTAAATTTTGTTTTGAATGCGTAAACGTGTTATTTCCATGCGTAATTTACGCGTATACGCATCTTATCTGGAGCCCTGGTTTTGTACTAAATTACTCTTGATATATTTCTTTGAGAAGTTGAAGGCTTTCTTCCTTTCTTACCTTCATACACTGTTTATGAATGTTGTATAAGAAAAAAAAATTGAATATTTGTTTCTGAATGTAGTGTATCAGTTAAAACGAGAGACAAATAGGTAAATAAGTACATGAATGATAACAGACATATATGATAGATAAAAATTTATAGTGATAATTTAAAGGCCTTTGAGCTTTGTAATTGCTGGATATATGTCCCAGTTTGTAGTCCGATGTATTGCACTTTGATCATAAGTGATTATGGCCTTAGTTATTACGAAATATTTAAGCAAATCAACAAGCAAAAACTTTCAAAATTTCAAAGTTCAAAGACAAATGTTTGAGACATAGAATACCTATTTACATAAATTGTAAATTCTGCCAAATTATTTTTTTAACGTAAAGAATCTGACATGCAGATCTCTCTTTTCATAATTTTTGATAGGCCCATTAAAAGTCATTTTTAAATTTCAAATGACTTATCAAATGAATTTATTTCTTATACTTGTAAAAGTCGTCAAAATTTGGATAATTTTGGTTTTAGTAACAAATGGATTTTTCTTTTGAAATCCTTGTACATGTATCTTCAGCTGTGCCTCAGACTCTCAAGAAGTCTACCTCACAGTGTATCACTTATATAATTGACAACCCACAAGATATCAACTCTAAGGTTTGCCAGTTTGCAAGCAGTATATACATTACTCTGTCTTCTGCTATTCTGTTATGAAAGTTTTAGGGACATTGATTTAATTAACAGCTGATTTGTACATGGTCAAGGTCATTTCACTGCAGTCTAAATACCAGCAAAGTAGCATATACATGTTCATAGAAAGTGGGCGGTGGATTGTTAAGTGTTATATCGATTTTGTTTGATGATACATATTTATTAATATACTTATTACTTTATATGCCAACAATACAGAGGTGTGAATTTCCGTTGTTGTTTTTTCACACATGCATTATGTTTTGATTGTTGATGCATGTATTAGCTAAATAAATGTGGCATTGCTAAAAAAAATCAAGAGGTATGATGAGTAAATTTGATCACTGAATCAAAAGATTGATCACAATTTGCTGATCAGGCTGAGCAAATTGTGGCTTTTAAGATAAAATGGGAAAATGTTCAGGGTAGTTCCAAAGTGGTTCCTGTAAAGAAGGTTAATAAGTGCTCATGGTTCCATGCCCAAGATTGACTGTATAATCAATATCCTAAAGAGTAGAAAGAGTATATAAAGTATTATATAGTGTTTAATAATATTTAATTGCAATTATTCAATACATAGAGCATATGCACGGGGGTGGAACCCCATATGAATCTCAAAAATGAGCATCGGTAAAAATGATATGTGAATTTCCGCTGCACCAGATGTGAAGCATAACATCAGATGTGACTGGAAAAATAGGCCGATCGCAGGGTAAGTTTTCATCTTTTCAAACATTTATATAAAATTCAATCCTTTTTTTAAGAATATCGAAATGTGATTCTACCCTCCTGACTCTCCTCTATATTACACCTTGTTGTTTTGAATTTCTATGCAGTCTTCATCGAGATATTTTTTCCGTCGAGGGTTCTGGTGTGTCCAAAACATGCAATATGAATGAAGAAAATGTCACTGAACGGACTCAAAAAACATAGATTTTACGAAATCTCACTACAGGTCGATGCTAAACATTCAAACAAATCCTGATTTAAATATTTATTGAGATTGGCTACATACAAGGGAATCGCTGCTCAAAATTGCATTTGAGCTCCAGATGTGCTGAAGAGATTCATAAGTGATGTAGAAAACCATCTGCAAAACTACGGACCTCTTCCATATAATCATTGAATAGCCAATGTATAGAAACAATATAGGTTTTGCATCTTTGGCTGAAAGTTTAATTGTAACATTAGTGTGTTTGATTACCACAGTGACAGAGCTTACTAGCTTATACTAGCATTAGAAATACTAAAAGGCTCGAGTACATGAAAATGTTGACGCAGAGCAGATAGTACTCTTATGAGTACCTATCGTGTCATATAATATGTTTCTTTAATAATGTTTACATTCATAAAAATATCTATAACTTTAATATTCCACAAGTTATAGTTATAGCGACAGACTGTTATGTGTAAATATCATGGCCTGATGCGACATCGAAGGTTTTTCTTTACAGGATATGGGCCGAGAACATTGTCTGTAAGGAAAACCCGAGATGCGGCCCCAGGTCATGATATTTCTACATAATAGTCGAGTTCGATATATTATAACTGTTTTATCGCATGATAAACAGAAATGAGAATTTTAATAAACATAAAATTTCAATTTATGATTGGCTTCTCTCCATAAATTAAATTTCCCACCCGAAACCTTGGTTACTTTTTATGTAACCCATGTCATCCATAATGTCTATCTGTTCATTGCAACTGACTTTATTTATCTTTGCAAATCCTTTCTGTGGAGAACATTTCATGGGACTTAATAGTTGTGAATTGAATATTAAATGTTTTTTCTTTGAATTGGAAAAAGTAATACGTGCACTTCTGGTGAATTCTTGGACTTTGGAGTCTGCGATACGCGGAATCTTTTGACACATGGGGACAATTTAAAAAGGCGAAAAAAGGATATGTAAGCGCTGATGACTTCCTCTTTTTTCACGATACACTTGACGTTTTATTCTTGAAAAGTTTTAAAACCTTTTTTTTTTGTGCCTAGAAAAACGACCCCATTTTCCTGAAAAAATAACAAAAGAAACGAATTTCGAAAGTGTTTATAATTTACAGTTCCCACTGAAATAAACAGTTATAAAGCGGAGAATAAGTTTAGTGATCTTTTTGCGTACATGAACATTTTCAGGAAACAATCTATGTGCATTATGAGCTACGCATGTCCGCCTCAATACGGTTAAGATATGTTAAAGTTTCTTTAAAACCATTCAAAGAATTACAGAGCAGGCATAAAATTCAGATAGGCATTGACCCATAATTGCGACTGTGGGCATGAAGTAACCATGTAAATATACTGCAGGGACGTTTCTTAATGTGGAAAATAAATATGCAAATCTTCTTTGATCTTTTTTTTTAAAAGTTTATCACTAACTTTCTTACAGCATCATAACAAAATTCAAACACGCTTCACATTACTCTCCTATTAAGCAGACAGTGCAATCGAGTGAATAATTAATCAATTAATTAATTTAGTTAATGCATGGTGGCATAAAAAGGGAAAGATTGCAGTACACACAACGTCAATAAGTCAAAAAAGGCCTTCCAACCATATCTACGTATTTTAAAAGCCTTTCGTATGCAGAATGTCTTATATCTCTTTCTATATGGATACTATGTTATTCAAGCTCGTCTCGTGAAAATGTGTCTATTTCGGATAATAGTATTTATTACAGAATGATACACAATAGAATAAATTCTAGATTGTTGCAAATTTTTCATGCTATGCACATATGAATCTCTTCAGCACATCTGGAGCTCAAATGCAATTTTGAGCAGCGATTCCCTTGTATGTAGCCAAATCTCAATAAATATATAAAACAGGATTTGTTTGAATGTTTAGCATCGACCTGTAGTGATATTTGCGTAAAATCTATGTTTTTTGAGTCCGTTCAGTGACATTTTCTTCATTCATATTGCATGTTTTGGACACACCAGAACCCACGACGGAAAAAATATCTCGATGAAGACTGCATAGAAATTCAAAACAACAAGGGGTAATATAGAGGAGAGTCAGGAGGGTAGAATCACATTTCGATTTTCTTAAAAAAAGGATTGAATTTTATATAAATGTTTGAAAAGATGAAAACTTACCCTGCGATCGGCCTATTTTTCCAGTCACATCTGATGTTATGCTTCACATCTGGTGCAGCGGATATTCACATATCATTTTTACCGATAATCATTTTTGAGATTCATATGGGGTTCCACCCCCGTGATATGGAATGAGAGTAGGTTTAATATTGAATTTATTGAACAAGTTGAATAAATTGTATTTTGAGAAATTTAAATCTACATGATTATAATATTCTATTTAATATCACATATCCGAAAAAAAAGAATTGTTTACAATAAAAAAAGATTCACTGATTTCATTGACTCGCTTAATGTAATGCTAACTTTTAGCGCATCTTTACACAATGTTTGTATAAAACAAATGACATCAGGTCAAAATATACTGTGAAGTCCCAACAGCAGCAAGGGAAAACGATTAAATAATATAATTATGTAAAATTATATGAAAAATACAGAAACAAATGTCACAAGAAGTTTAGTGTAGATGGGTCACACTACAAATTACAACAACATTAGCCCACTAGACAGCAAATAAACATCTTGAAATAATTGTTTTCTTCAGAAAACCAAGTTGAGGTTTATGGATACTATGTCAATGCATATAGCAGTGTGTGGCCTAACAAATTTACAGCGTGTACTGTATCAGGCTGCCAAAAATGACAGTCAACAGAAAATCGTGAAAGAATATGAACAACGAAACAAGCAAAGGAGAGCATTTGTTGTAAGTATTCTTAGAAGAAATAAGCATACATGTGAACTTTTTTTTATGATCAAGTGGGAGATTTTTCTTAAAAAAAGGGGGGATTTCAGAATTTGCAATAAACAAAGGAGAAAGTTCTGATATAAAAAAGAGGGAGATTTCTTTAAATTGTGAAAATACCCCTTATTTTAAGAAAAATCCTCAGAAAATGGGAATCTCCAGCTAAAAGTGGGAGAGTTCACTACATGTTAGTAAATAAGTAATAATCCAATAACAAGTGCAGAAATCTTTGCTGGTATGTAATACAGAGGAAATTGAATAATTGTAGGGTCAATACTAAATTTATTAAAATCATATTATGCAAGCTTCTTGTGAGAACCGCAATAAGAACCACAATAAGATACAATCAAAATTTTTTAGTTATTTTTATTTTGCATGAAGGATGGTAGATATTTTACAGCTTTGGGTATGGGGTTTGCATAAAGAATGTTCTTAAAATTTATCCTTCTAAATTTCTGAACTGGACTTGTCCATCTTTTAAGCTGGACATAACCATTCATCCTATAATGCACTGAAAATAAGTACTGACAATGATAGCAACCATTGTGGACAGATGTGACAGTGGCTCTTGGTCTGCTCTGGCTGAATGGGTAGATTAAGATAGTCTTACATGGTACAATACTAGCGCTATCATTATTACTTTTTTTCACATTAATATGCATATTTAAATGCCCCATCCAATTTTAATGTCTATAAGTCAAGGTCAAGGTCAATGTGTATTTACTGAGGAATTTCAAACTCTGTATGCGGATGAGCCATTATAAATGAAATCTTAAGGAGTTTCGGCTTGGCTATGCCTATTTTTGGGTTAAAAGGTTAAAGGTCAATGTGTTCTGGAAATCAAACCTGTTCATTTAGAATTTAATGTGCAGTTTACTATCAAATGCTCTGTAAAATAGAGTGTGCTGCTCAGAAGGCTTAAGTTTTAATGTATTTGGTACAAGATATTCACATATAGCTATTGATCAGTCAAATTAAGATTCCATTATAAGACAGTGTAACTGCAAGGTATCTGATGTATGAAATCACTTGCAACAGGTAATGAATAGAGGTAAGTACATGTAAAACTAATTACAAATAATACCAAATTGTGGTGAGTTTGACAAAATGCAACTGATATTGAAAGTTGATGGGGTTTTGACAAAATGCAACATACATATGTTGAGTTGCAGTACTTACAGCTTTGACAAATTGCAACTGATACTTGGTTTACTGAAATTGTGTTTGAAGAGAGTTTGACAAAATGCTACAGATGTTGTGTGGTGATGAAATGGTTTGACAAATTGCTACTGAAATTGTGTTGAAGTGAGTTTGACAAAATGCAACAGATGTTGTGTGGTGATGGGTTTGACAAATTGCTACTGAAATTGTGTTGAAGTGAGTTTGACAAAATGCAACAGATGTTGTGTGGTGATGGGTTTGACAAATTGCTACTGAAATTGTGTTGGAGTGTGTTTGATAGAATGCAACAAATAAATGTCGAGTGTTGATTGGTTTGAAAATTTGCCACTGAAATTGTGTTGGATTTAGTTTGACAAAACGCAACAAGTGTTGAGTGGTGATGGCTTTGACAATTTGCTACTGAAATTGTGTTGGAGAAAGTATGACAAAATGCAACAAATGTTGAGTGATGATGGGTTTGACAATTTGCAACAGATTATAAAATTATGAGACAGATTTTAATTTTAGAAAGTTTTCTAGGAGAGTTACCGGATGTCATCCAACCTTTACAACCCTGTAGTTCAAAAACTTTGCAACCTTGATTCCTCTTTAGTCATTGATTCCCTCCAGTCATTGATTCCTCTCCAATTATTGATGCCCCTCCAGTCATTGATTCCTCTCAAATCATTGATTCCCCTCCAGTCATTGTTTTCCCTCCAGTCATTGATTCCACTTTAGTCATTGATTCCCTTCCTGTCATTGAGTCCCTCAAGTCATTGATTCCCTTCAGTCATGGATTTCCCTACAGTCATTGATTCCCCTCTAGTCATTGATTCCCCTCCAATCCTCAATTTGTTGACAGAAACAAGCTTTAGCTATCTCTACTTTCTACATTGTTTTAGCTGACGACAATCTTGTGTTTTTCTGTATGAACCAGTAATTAGTTATTCTCCCAGCATGATGGCTAATCTGCAAGGTAAAGTTAGAAAATAGGATCTCATATTTCATTGGAAATTATTGTGTCCTTGTTGCCACATGTCAGCATTCATCATCTCTAGTAATTTTATATCTTAATCAGTATCTAACAAGATGTTATTAAAGACAAAGCAGTCTCAAAGAAACAAAAAGTTGAAGAATATCTTATTCTAATCATCCTACAAAGGTGATGCACTTGTTTTGCTCTTTGACAGCTGTATATAAATTAATGTTTGTTATACTGTGACGTATTAAAGAACAACTTGTTGGCTAATGACCTGCTAGTTTGATCACTCTGACGTTCTAAGATAAAAAAGAATGCCTTGAAATTCCATGGTTACACAAAATATTGTTTCTTTAATACGCGTCTTATGACATCATTATGTATTTCTTTAAATTACTCATGTTTGATTTGAAAATTATCTGTCAAGCAGTCATCTTTCTCCTGTTTTGTCTAACATCATTTTCCTGCTTTATTTTATAATCATGGCCATTTCAAATAAACCTGTACTTAAACTTTCACATGTATAACTCTTTTTTAAGACCTGTTCAATATTTCACCTAAATGAACTGTTAACTCATGTGTGATCATAATTAATATATTATATAATTGGTTTACTATTAGTATTATGCTTAATAGGGAACCTGTTGTTAAATCAAGTAGACTTTACTAGACTGGGAGATAGTGTGAGGAAAGGCATCTGTGGCTGAGTGGTTAAGGTTGTTGACTTCAAATTACTTGCCCCTCACCACTGTGTGTTCTATATACTAACAGGATTTTTTCATGTGAGGAAGCTATTCAGCTAGCTTATGGAACATCTATGGTTCTACTCAGGTGCCTGTTCATGACTGATTGTACAAGGTGGGGAAGTGCTGAGTTTGATCAATTATAGTCAATAACTCACTACACTATTATTCTTTAAGTCTCATGAGGAAATTTGGATATTTCTACCAATATCTGCTTAACTGACTGGTTGGATTTGTAATTTAAGTTCTTGTGGCAACTTTCCTACTGTACTGGTGTAAAAAGAGCTCCAGTATAAGGCAATATGTGGATCATGACAGACAACCAAGCACCTGAAGTGAACCACAAACATTGTATAAGCTAATTGGATAGTTTTTTAGCTCACCTGAGCATGCTCAGGGTGAGCTTTTAGGATTGATGATTGTCCGTCGCCCGTCCATTGTCCGTTCACATTTTGTTGTTAAAACTCTAGCGGTCGCATTTTTGCCTCAATCATCATCAAACTTGGTCAGGATGCTTATCTATTTGATAGCTCGGACGAGTTCGAACATGGGTTATCTCGGATGAAAAACTAGGTCACAAGAGCTAAAAATAGAAAAACCTTGTTAAAACTCTAGAGGTCACATTTTTGCCTCAATCATTATCAAACTTGGTCAGGATGTTTGTCTAGGTGAAAGCTCGGATGAGTTCGAACATGGGTCATCTCGGATGAAAAAGTAGGTCACAAGAGCTAAAAATAGAAAAACCTTGTTAATACTCCAGCGGTCACATTTTTGCCTCAATCATCATTAAACTTGGTCAGGATGCTTATTTAGTTGATAGCTAGGATGAGTTCGAACATGGGTCATCTCGGATGAAAAACTAGGTCACAAGAGCTAAAAATAGAAAAACCTTGTTAACACTCTAGCAGTCACAAGTTTGCCTCAATCATCATTAAACTTGGTCAGGATGTTTGTCTAGGTGATAGCTTGGATGAGTTTGAACATGGGTCATCTCGGATGAAAAAGTAGGTCACCGGAGCTAAAAATAGAAAAACCTTGTTAACACTCTAGAGGTCACATTTTGGCATCAATCATCATCAAACTTTGTCAGGAAGCTTGTTTAGGTGATAGCTCGGATGAGTTCGAACATGGGTCATCTCGGATGAAAAAGTAGGTCACTGGAGCTAAAAATAGAAAAACCTTGTTAACACTCTAGCGGTCACATTTTTGCATCAATCATTTTCAAACTTAGTCAAGATGCTTGTCTAGGTGATAGCTTGGATGAGTTCGAACATGGGTCATCTCGGATGAAAATGTAGGGCACTGGAGCTAACAATAGAAAAACTTTGTAAACACACTAGCAGTCACATTTTTGCCTCAATCATCATCAAACTTGGTCAGGATGCTTGTCTAGATGATAGCTTGCATGAGTTCGAACATGGGTCATCTCGGATGAAAAACTAGGTCACAAGAGCTAACAATAGAAAAACCTTGTTAACACTCCAGGGGTCACATTTTTGCCTCAATTATCATCAAACTTGGTCAGGATGCTTATCTATTTGATAGCTGGGATGAGTTCGAACATGGGTCATCTCGGATGAAAAACTAGGTCACAAGAGCTAAAAATAGAAAAACCTTGTTAACACTCTAGCGGTCACAATTTTGCCTCAATCATCATCAAACTTGGTCAGGATGTTTGTCTAGTTGATAGCTTGGATGAGTTTGAACATTGGTCATCTCAGATGAAAAACTAGGTCACAGGAGCTAAAAATAGAAAAATCTTGTTAACACTCTAGTGGCTACTGTTGTGATCCAAATATCCTGTAAATTGGTCTGAAAGTTTGTTTTGATGATTTCTAAGTCAAGTTCGAACATGGGTCATCTTGGATGAAAAACTAGGTCACACCTCCCAAATATTGAAAAACCTTGTTAACATTCTAGTGGTCACATTTTCGACTCAATTATCATCAAACTTGGTCAGGATGCTTGTCTAGGTAATTGCTTGGATGAGTTCAAAATCACATGTGAAACTAGGTCACCGGAGCTCAAAATAGAAAAATCTTGTTAACACTCTAGTTGCTACTGTTTTGATCCAAGTACCCTGGAAGTTGGTCTGAAAGTTTGTTTTGATGATTTCTAGGTCAAGTTTGAATATGGGTCACCTGGGTAAAAAACTAGGTCACACAGCTCAAATATGGATAATCCTTGTTAACAATGTATTGGTCACATTTTTGACTCACCTGTCATGAGACTTGGTCAGAATGCTTGTCTAGATAATTGCTTGGATGAGTTTGATGGGTCAGGTGAGCGATCTAGGGCCATCATGGCCCTCTTGTTTATATGAAAGAATTCAAAGTGTTCATGAGGATTAATACCAAGCAGCAATGAGGGGCAAATGGTTTGAATGTCAATGACCTGAACCACCTGGCTAAAGAGGCCTATGTAGTCACTTCAGGTTATCTATCTATTAGTAATTATAAGCATGGATAGACTAACCTGCAGCTCCTTAATATAATGTAAAGATAATGCTGTCATAAAAACCAAGCAGTTCTTAACCTCAACTTCAGCTTTGAGAGCAACAACTGGAGAGGAATCAATGACTGAGTTTCTTAAATGAACTAGTCCAGTTTACATTTCAGAACTGTTCATTATAATTTTAGGGATATCTAGTTGATAGATAAAGATCCTATTGTTTAGAGATGAGTAGGCTGGCCTGACTCTACTAAGGTGGCAAATTTAGTTCCAGCAGGTTATGGGTTAAATAAATTAATGTTTAATAGTGAGTCAGGAAATTGAGGCCTAACATTTGATTCTTTTATAATTATGTGATAAGAACTCTAACGATACAAGATTTATCTCTGATGTTAAAATTGTGTTTTATCAATAATATAGAATATATAATTAATAAAATTAAGGAATTTTTTTTACTGTTACAGACTGATGACTGGAAGGAAATGAGCTCATTAAATAATTTAGGAGACGTGTACAATCTTCATGTTGGAGATAAGAAAATTGATAAAGATCCTCGAAGTATATTTGTTGAAGGTTCTACAGCTGATGTTAGAGCCAATTTTCAGGTAAGAAATAATAAAACTGTCTGATGCTAAGTTGTGACAATTGCTTGTCTACAAGGTTGTCAGTATAACTTATAATTACCATTGCTTATAATCATATTATAATCACTAATTATTATAATGTACCATTGATTATAATATAACAAATATCCACCACATAACATAAGTTGTAATGGGGTATACTACATGTATAATAATAATAATAATAATGAAGGCTTTATTTAATGAGGCTACATATTCCCTAAAACTACCTCAACATTTTAACAACATACTGGCATGAGGCTGTCCCTCAGTCTGGCCATCATTCTGTGTGCGCCTCTTAAACCACTGAATACGATATTTGCATGTTACAAGCTCAAATCAATCACAATGAACAAGTATATTTTGATTGAATTATTTATTGCAGGCATATACTTTCATAAAACAGATCAATCTATATTAATACTAAAAGATCTAAGCTATAATTTCTCAGTACCTAAGTAATGATTCAGTGATTCAGTACCCAGGCAGAAGTTTTACCCAGCTGGATACCAGGGTACTCGAGCACTCATCCCAGCTCTACCGATTACTTTCACCGTTGCTTATAAACATCAATTTTGGTCATGATTAGTAGGGGTGTCATGGTTAGCTTAAATGCTAGCCTTTTAAACGGTGGCTTAATATTCGGGTAAATGTTTAACCGATTGTATTAAAAGAGTTTTTATACTCCTGTTTGAAAAACGGGTTGTATTATATTTTCTCCCCTGGCGGGCGGCTGGGTGGGCAAGCTGCTTCCAATATTTGTTCGGAGCATATCTCTTTCACCCATGGAGGAATTTTAATGAAACTTCATAGAAATATTCACCACTATGGGAAGCCGTGTCACGTGCATTAACCAGGCCCCTAGGTCAAAGGTCACACTAAGAGGTCATTGAAAAATGCTTGTCTGGAGCAAAACTGCTACATGCATAGAGGGATTTCAATATAACTTGGCACAATTGTTCACTATTGTGTCGCACGCAATAATTATGTCCCTGCAGCCAAGATCAAGGTCACACATAGGAGTCAAATTTCAGATAAAAATATGAAAATGTGTATTGGGACCATTTAGTCATCATTTATTGAAGGATTGAAACACACATGGTCATTATCGTGACTACTGGTGTGAAACATGTAATTTAGGTTTTTATATGCAAGGTTAAGGTCACTAAAGATGATTGTGAAGGTCACTAAAGATGATAAAATATAGAGATTTTGTCCAGAGCATATCTCCTACACATACGGAGAGATTGTAATGAAACTTCAATGAAATGTTCACCACTATGAGAAGCTGTGTCCCATGCAAGAACCAGGTCTCTAGGTCACAAGTCAAGGTCACACTTAGAGGTCATTGAAGAACACTTGTCTGGACAAAACTTCTACATGTATATAGGGATTTCAATATAACTTGGCACAAATGTTCACTATTGTGAAGAGGAGTGTGGCATGCAAAATTTAGGTCCCTGTGGCTAAGGTCAAGGTCACACATAGGGTTCAAAGTTCAGATAAGAAAATCACTAGAGATGATGATATATCCAGATATTTTCCCAGCATATTCCCAAGATATCTTTCCCATTGCATATCTTTTATATGCCCCCATTTCTCTCAAAGCTTTGGACGGGTTATTTCCAAAAAAGTTCCTTTGTTAATTTAAAAAAAAACCTTTTCCCCTTTTGATAAATATCACATTTTGTTTGTTTTTTTTTATGCTCAACAACAATTAAAAAATTCTTTTAAAAGTACTGTTTCTGTTATGAATTACAACACAAATAACATCAATCGGGGGGAAAAAAACAATTAGATACAAACAAAATGTCAACCCTTTAAAAGAAACAAAGAACTTAAAAAAACAATCAAAATTTTTTGTTTTGGGGTTTTATAAAATTAAGGTTATTGAAAATTTTTAAAAAGGGTTGGGCAAATTAACCCACCCAAACCCTTTTAAACCCGATCAACTCTTTTTTAAAGTTCCTTTGTTTTAATTTGTCATATGTAAAAAAAAGTTTTTACATGCATTTTTCAGGAATTTCCCAACAATAATGATGGATCAAAAACCAATCAACAGTTATTTTTTGAATGATTGAAAATAAAACTTGGTCTATCATGTAACATTGCTAGAAAGTTACATAAAGTAAAAATCTAGTAGTTGTTTAACCTTTAATCAAATTTCATTGACACTTTTGCTCATATTATTATCTTTAGGTTTTTCTATTTTCATAGAAGACTACCAGTCTTGCAGATTACAAACTTGTCATTGATAAAGTTGTCATTCTGGTTAGGTAACAGACTGTTAAAACTAAAATCGTTTTCACACATGTGCTTTGGTTATGAAATTTGTAACAAGAGAAATTAACCTGGTGTTGTTGTTTTTTTCACAATCAAGTACAACCGTTAAAGCATGTGGTGGGAATTTTCATTCCATTTTGTAAAGAAATATCCCATGTGTATAAAACATTTCTTACATCAGTCTGCAACAAATTAATTGCAAAAATAACATGCATAAGTTTTTACGAATTTATTTTAGTTTGATTGTGTTGGAAGCTATAAGCTTATTGAAACACTCTTGAATCCGTTCCTGGAACTAACCAGTACATAGCAATGAGTTTTAAGTTTCTTGCTCGAGGAAACAAGGACTTGCCCTTGACAGGATTTGAACCCATGTGGCCAGCAGTCCTTAGACTACTAGTACAATGTGTTAACCACTCAGTCACCTAATTATAGTTGATATAATGGCTTTATCTAGTTCAGTATGTTAACTTTATTGTCAAAATGTCTTCAAACTAAATAGTCAAGTAAATGTAACTTTTAAGCGTAGAACTAATTGCAAAAGTTTTGAAAGCCACACTACAGGTAAGAGTATGATGCCTCTTTTATATTTGTAAAGTTTTTCAGCTGGCATTTTCTAACAACATAGGTTCGAAATTTGCAATTTTAGAATAAAATCACCCGGGGGCTGAGAGATAAGCCACCATACATAAAAAATAAAAAAGTGTAATTATTTGCTATGCCAACATTGTATATGACTGTTATGAGGCTATTAAGATTGGTGATGTCATGTGACTGTGAGGGAGTTATCCAGCTAGCTTATGTGTCAGCGGTTCTACTATTAGGTGCCTGCTTGTGCCAAAAATATTGCATTGAGGGGCACCTGATGTCTGCGTTGGACAGTTGCCATATTTACAGTCTTGGTGCCACATTAACTACAACCAAAAAAAAAAAAGTATTCTGTTGTCTGCCTCGATATGTCTGTGCAATATGTTTGTCTGTACAATAGCAGCTTAAAGTCTGATTTGATTTTCATAAAACATGAACAGGACTATAGTCTGTCCCATTAAAAATGGAAATGAACTTTTGCCTGGTATGAATTAACAAAACGACGTTGAATAAAAAATAAAACTTTTTTGTAAACTAAAAAAAGTCACCCTCGAGATTTTTCAGGATTTTACTCTAAAGTGTCTACTTTTCTTGTGAAAGCAAATTTTGATTTCTCTATGGTAAATCTCTGTTGTTTATTTTCTGTAGCCATTGCGGAAGTACTCTTCATTTGAAGATGAACGGGAGAAAGCATGTGTCATGTTTCTAAAATATACATGAGTTTCTCGGGGTCGTTTCATGATTATTTTACAAAGCTGGATCTACAAGATGCAACAGTTTAGTTGCAATGCATGATGGAAAACTTTAAAAAATAAGCAACAAGAACATCGAGTCACATGGAGTAGATCTAGAAATTGCACTTACTTTTAAGATGAATAGTTTATTAATGTCACGACAAATTCGCATTCTAAAGATTCTTTCATTGCCAGTTTCTTCTATTCAGTTCCGTAGATCCCACTTTTTACTTCAAAAATCCTGAATGACATGAGTCAAAACTCCTAGATCTACACTTTTGATGATCAAGATTTGTTTAAACTAATAATCCGTTTCATTATTAAAACATTGTTCAATTTGTGAATTTATCTGGGTTAACAAATGAAATATGTAAATGAAACACATCATAATTCAGCATGTTCCAAATCCATAATTCAAGAACGGCCCATCAATTTTAGTACTGTTGTCAACATCACAATGCTTATGGATTCCTGGCGAAAAAAAATTATTACGTCAACAACAATTTACGAAATATATGATGTAACAAAATGCCTCGCGCTATTCCAGTTGCGGCATTGACAGAGGGCGGTTAGGCATATGTAACCTCAAACAGATAATTTTCAGCGTTGAGATAAATTTGTCTTGATGGCATTTAAAGTAATTTTTGTATACCCAGATTTTGCAACTTAATTGTAAATTAAAAAATTACACCTTCAATTCATATATTAACAAAATAAAACGATTGATAACATTTAAAATTAATTTTAAACATACTAAAAATGACATGAATATACAACAGTACAATACTTTTCCATTAATTACATAAAACATTCGTTTTGATTTTATATTTTTGAACTATGTTTTATATTTCTCAGAAATAGTTCCCTACATATATTATCTCGTTATTTAAGACTTCTGTAAATTCTACTCTTTTAGCTACAAAATATACAATACGTGGTATTTTTTTCTCCCGCGAAAAATATCCTAGATCTTTTGTTTGAATATTTTCAAATTTTCGGAAGGCTAAAAATATTGAGAACGTCACTGGGCATTTCTCTTTGACTTGATCTACCCTTCATATTAACAAAATAATTATATGTACTACAAAAAAGCAGCACTTATTGTCGCTTATTTGAACTTACTCTTAATAATATCAAATCACCGCCTGTATTTCTTGACATTTTGTTGAATTGTGAAACGGAAAGTTAAATCTGTATTTACGAGCTTAAAGTGTAAAGGCTTACGTTTGATTGCTTAAACTAGAAAGCATGATATTATATTCTTATAATTTACATTTTCCTCGAACGCAAGTCTGTGTTCTCTTGTTAGCGAGGGAGTTAGTTAAAGTAGACACAATGGTGACAAGCAAACCAATGCTGAACGTATAGTGAATCAGTTTTCTTTATATTTTTTGTCAGATTTGCATGATAATGTAGTATTTGTTGGCGATTTCCAGTGAAACACCGATTTTCAACAAGTGGGTCCATGGGGTAAAAAATATATTTAAAAATTCGACCTTTCCTGATTGAGTCAATGTTTGTCTTAAGACATTCATATACCACCCTATGACAATATCTGAAAGTTTTGTATACAACGCTCTCGCAGTTTTCGTGTAATGATCTCTCAAACATAGGTGGCTGAAGACTAAATTTATTACGTATAAACCTCCGTTATTAGAGCCCTATGATGTATAATGTACACTTATTTGATATAATATTTTTTGAAAACGTTGCTGAACTTAACATTATCGTAAACGTTTAATATAGCAATATTTTTTTTTAAGTGCTAAACGAACTGACCAAGACCGAAGAATAAATTTCTTATGATATGTTTGCATTACAAATAGGTTGCAACATAAATAAATAAAATCATATATATGCTTCAAATTATTTTTTCAGACCGTATATTCTAGTTGAAGTCATCGCATATAAACACAAATGCAACTTTTTATTTCGATGTAGAAAACAAAATAACCAACTTTTTGCAAAGTCCACATATATCTAACATACGTGGCCAATCATTAATAATTCACAAAAAAATAACGAAGGTTTTGGTTTATAAAAATACAAAAATGTTTTAAATCTGATCAAAGATCTATTTCATTTTCAACACAAGAATGAACAGATACAGAAATGATTTATACAAAAATGTATATTATGAATATTTGTCATAGCATTGTCTATCGTATTTCATAAATCACTGATTGAATGGTAGCCATTCATGAAACAAACATTAAAAGTCAGAATAGTGAACCGATATAGTCTAACAAAGTGTTTCTTAGATTATTTCCTTTCATTTAAAACCATTAAACAAAATCTAATAATCTAGATATGCAATAGGATCACCTCATCAAGGCAAACGATCAAACACTTATGGTAATGAAGGTTTCCCTAGAATCAGAAAAGAACATAATAACATCATTTTAGTCGCATGGATAAGTTTACGGTAGTTCTAATAGACATCGCCAATCATGTTTAAACATATTGTGTGACATGGCTACAAAATATGTCATGATATGTCAAACTAAATGACAAATTTAACACAAACAGTCTTGTTGATAACGAAGGTTTAGTGGCATCACTACTTTTCATTATACAATGCATAAAGACTCAAAATACGATCTCTATCATATTCACTAATTTTGAACATTCTTTTTTAGCTCGACTTTTTTTTTTTTTGAAAAAAAAAGTAGAGGTATTGTTATAGTCAGGTCGGCGTTGCCGTTGCCGTCCGAAAACTTGTACCTGGATCATAACTTTTTAATTCTTGGTGTATTGTCTTCATACTTGGCCACAACAACCCTTGGGACAAGACCTTTCAGTAGAGACCACACTAACCTTGACCTTCATCCATAATGACCTTGACCTTCAAGGTTAAAAGTCCAATTTTTGCTTGTTTCATGCTGTTATTGGCTGTTACTTTGTTATTTTTGAATGGATTGTCTTCAAACTTGAACATAATAATCTTCAAGGATATCCTTAAAAATAACCAGTCAGACCTTGACCTTCACTCATCAATGACCTTGACTTTGAAGGTCAGATTATTGAAAATTTTCATTTTTTTGGCTATTATTTGCTGTAACTTTGTTATTTTTGAATGGATTGTCTTCAAACTTGAACATAATAATCTTCAAAGATAACTGTTAAAAATATACCGAAAGACCTTGACCTTCAATCATTAATGACATTGTCTTTGAAGGTCAAATTATTGAAATTTCATTGTTTTGGCAGTAACTGACTGTAAACTTTGCTATTTTTGAAGGGATAAACTTCATATTATAACAGAACATTCTTAAGGACCAAACCTTGTTGTTTATCAAACCCAAATTTGCTTGGGCTCTTTAATGACCTTGACCTTGAAGGTTTATATTACTGAATTTTCTCAGATTGTGCATTTATTGGTGTGTGTGTGTGTGTGTATGTATAGTATATGTATTTATATATAATATATAAATGTGTGTTGTGTGTATATATATATATATATATATAATAT